ATATAGATTGTTACTCACAAAGTCTTCATGGGTCGTTTCTGAATATACAATGTTGTCTTCGGTGGTTTCGACTCTTTCTATCACTTTGTTCAAACCTATACGCCGAATGTGCTTCACTGCACGCTCTACCTCTGAGCAGTTGCCATCGACAATGAGTTTAATGCTATTAGGAAGCATCGACCTTACCTGGGAGTTCTGGCATACTTGAATCGACCACTTTGGATATCCGAGTGAACGGTGGCAGGAGCTCGGCAAGGTCACATGATCGGTAGCGGTTGGGCCGAGCTTCGGCACATCCGAGATAAGATGACAAAGACTGCTTATCATAGGATAAGTCAGCAAAGGCGGTAAGAGTCCATTGACGCCTGACAGGCGCTTATCTATTTCTACTCCCGACTCTGACCGCCGTCGCTCGCAAAAAAATTTTCTAATACAATTTGTGATCACCCACCCACCCACTCCTGTTAGAACTTATTCACACAGCTGTACGCTACGCTTTTAGTCACCGTGCGTGTAACAAAATTCCTTTCACCCACCCGCGCGGGGCTAAAGCCCAGCCAAAGAACTTAAAATAATGTATTCCAGACTTATATTATATTATATCATACTCCAAGCTAAAGACTGACTTATTGGAACTCCCACTTGAGGATGTTCGTTGTCTCAGTCTGTTTTGCGAGAATCATCAGTGAGACGTTTCGTTATTCTCTATCCTCGTACAGTTTGGGAGATACCCCTCGAGCAATCGCGGTCGCTTTTCTCACTCTAGCTCTTGGGTGAGCGTTATACAACCAACTACCTTTGTTCTAACAATGTTCATTTCAGTGTGACAAGATTTCGTACACATCCTAGAGAGTCTACTCTGCCTCTACTCATGCAATTGCCCTTCATTTGAAAGGGACTTCGAAGGTCGCAATGATCCGTTTGCTTTTGGTGCAGGCGGTTCTGTAACGGGCATGATCGTTAATCAATCCGGCACCGCCTGGATCATTCTCCTTGCCTTTTTTCGATCCTTGCTATGATAGGGCATTGATTATTGACAACCTACCACGCCGTTTCACTGAATGCGTTCTATATGATATTTTACCAAGTTCCGATTTGTGGGCCTTTTCTTGTCCGATGATATCTCGAAACATTGATGGTGGGTATTGATCAAAACCGTACACTGATACGGAACAGACGCACAAGCCTATCATACATATATGCGGCATTCAACCTTGCATATCGAGTCTTAAGGTAAGTAAACCTTCCATTCCCGAGTGTAGACTCCTGGCTGATCGCTGAACGAACTTGGCCTTGCAGTTAGATTGGCCCAGGGTTGTTCTTTACATACCCTTACAACTCAATACGATTCACTGTGGTCAAGATATGAATTGAGGAAGAATGGGCGTCTGTGTCCAATGGTGGCTGGGCTCGATAGATCCCTATAATGTAGTGGTGGCTGAGTAGCCGAGAAATTCAATCATATAAGGTAACTTCTGTACAACGCGTTCGTATTTGATTGCACAAACGGGTCGACCAAGGTAGCGATTTTCGACAGCAAGCTTTGAGATGTTCTGAGTACTTATCGGAGATTGAGACTCGAGCAGAACGGAAATTTTCAAAATGATAAGGCACGCTTCGCCTAACACCAACCATCAGATATTTTTGGCGCCCGCACTTGGCTTACTTAATGTAGGCCGCCAGTTCTAGTCTTCAAGCCTCTCATCAGTATAGTACATAGTACATAATTTCGAGCTTGAGCCTAAAGCACTCAGTATCATTTCTCATATTCAAGATAATCAAGCTCTGTGCTCATCTATCATCGACTCTGAACTGGATCTCGGATTTTCTCTCTGGCTTTTCCGTCTGTATGACAACGGGTGAGTTTGCCAGTAGCCTGCATGGATAGACAGATATACATTTATGGATGGCCTTTTAGTTACTACAACACGAACAAACACGGATCTCTCAAAATACGCTAGTACCTGGTTTATCTGCTTTGACTACTCATGGCCTCCCGCGACGTCGACCCAAATCGCACTATCACAGAAGCTGCAGATGATGCAGAGTCCTCAATACAGAACACCATACAGAGGCTTGATTTCGCCTTTGAACGTATCCGACATCTGAGAAGAGAAATTTTGTACCCAGAGCAATGGGACTCTGCAAACGGCAGCATCAGCAGGAACAGATTAGGCCCTGGCCACGAAGCTATCATGCTCACTGACCAGAACGAACGGGTCTACTTGGAAGAAACAGAGAGGATGGATAGAATGAGCACAATAATTCCTGCTGATACCAGGGAACGCCTCAGGCAGTTTGAAGTTCGTCATCCAGAACCAGATCGCGAGAGGTGGGAGAGGGACAGAAACAGGGATCGGGCACATTCACATCTATTGCGTGCTGCTGCTGCTCACATGCATCCCCTCGACACATCCATCTCTCCATCGTCTTCTCATCCGTCATCCGCTCAGTCTCCGCTCAACTTTACTTCCCCGCTCAGTCCTCCTCGTCAGCGGCTCTTGCCTTACCGACCGCTGGATACCCAACCGTTCAGAAGGAGAGAGTCCTCATCCTCATTATCTGATGATCCCAATACTGAGTTAGGTCGACGGGTAGCCGCTCGTGAATCTGCACAAGGCACTGCTAGGGATTCCGCCACCCGCAATTCCTCTCAGAATTCTAATACGTCTTCTCGGGACAGTCTATACAGGCTTCCCACAGTCATCGAACGGGACTTTGAATACGGCACTCGCACGAGACCTCAACGCTCGGAACCTGCACTTCTGCGACGCTTTGATCCTTCTCTCGAACAGCTTCGACTAGAGATCGAAGGACGAACTTCTCGCAGTCTAGATAACACCGGAGTTCCGCCTTCTCCGAGCGCGGAAGCATCACTTCTTCGTGCTAATATGAGAGCAAGAGCTGCTCAGTCACGCCAGAGCTCAAACGTATCGTCCAGTTTACCGTCTGCTACATCGTCTCAAAGTCGATTGTCGTTACTATCAAATTTCGGTGTGCAGAACCTCCCCACCCCTTCTTCGACGCTCTCGAATCCCCCGTTATTATTTGAAGAGCCAACGAGCTACGTTCATACGTCAGGAGAGGATTCGCGATTACGATATATTGAAGAAGAACGAGCGCAAGCGTTCGAAGAGAACTACATGTCTCGGGCTAGGACAAGCTGGGACAGTAGAGCTGAACAAGAATTGCTATTTACGTCCAGTCCTGTTCAGATGCATAATAACACAGATGGAACTAGGCCAGGGCACCATCGGGATAACACTGTCCGAGTGCAAAACCATGCGTTTCCTAGTCTACGTGAGTTTTTTCTTCCACGTATAGTGACAACCGAAATTAACCCAAAAATATTTCTATATAGTTTCCGTTGACGCTCATGGCGACGAGGTTCGACCTGATCCTATCAGGGCTCGACAGTTCGTTGAAGGCAGCCTGGGTCTGTACTCCATGCGCAGGAATGCAACGGATGATTATCCCCTACCTCAGCCTGTTCCACCCTTTACGCATAACTCCGAACCCGATGTTGTCTTTTTTCAAAACCACGACCCTAGAAATGTGCTATATCACCCGCTCATACCGGACGGACCATCCTCTGTGAAATACGTCCCCTCTTCCTCTGCCGAATCAAAGCCCCGGTATTTTGGAACAAACACGCCAAGGTACATTGACCCGCTCCCTTCCGCCCTGGTGGATAAAATTCTACCAGTCCAATCTCGACGCACATCTATCCACGTATCTACTGCTACCATGACTGTCATGGCGGGTAGATAATCTTTTCCAGCAATAATCTTTCTTGAGTACATGTTTATTTAAGTTATCATCGCTCTTTTTTTTCTTCTTGCATTATAACTCTAACTTATTGTCGTTCATTCGTTTTCGAGTTTCTGGATTACATTCACGTACATACATGCATACAATACAAAATTCACACTTGGTTTCGCTCATCCTTGGATATTGGGTACTCTCGATCCTCCCTTGATTAGTTCGTTACCGAGTCCTGCATTCTCGTGCTTCCGTCTTCCCATGCAAAATCGCCACTTACTATCATATTTTGTAGTGCATCGTTCATTGTACAGACCTTTCTCGTATTACGGGAAATGCTTATTTATCATTCATATGCATAAGTAACTGACGTGTTGATTCTTGACTATACATTGCACGTCAGGAAGTGAGTGGATCCGTGGTTGTACTGGCGCGTCAAGCGAATCCACAAGAGACGCAAACCAAGATTCACTAAACCATTAAGCAGGTATGGGAACGACTTTGCCCTGGCTATCGAACTCGTAAGACCTAAGTTCTGGATGATTGGAGGACAAATTTCAGTAACACGATGCTTTTAATCTACGGCAAGCGTTTCTTACCGCAATTACGAAAAACATCACCTCCCAGAAGATATTGCAAGGTTCCTCGATGGGATATTATCAGCACGTTGCTTTCTGGACGAGCCTTGATTTCCTGAAGGATTACCTCGGCTCTCTGTAACGCTCGTTCGTCAGTATGACCCGGGTAATCCCACAATTCATGACATCTAGAGAAATCTAAAGAAGGATAAGCAGCTTCCAACTCTGCTCTGGGACGACCCAAGTTGCATATTGCATGGTCGTGAGTTTCTCGTAATTCAGGCCAGATTTCTACATGGATGACATTATCTGAATTGGACTGTATAGGAAGGTCTTTTAGTTGAGACAGAATTGCGTAGAGAGTTTGTATTGTTCGAGTCATTGGGGAGCAAATGATGAGGTCCGGAATGAATGTCATATGGACGCTAGCGGCTTCTGCGAGGCCCTGTTCGGTCAGAGGAGGATCGCGCTCTGGCCATCCTCTTTGGACACTGGAAGTATATAGATGAGGAGGTATAAGATTTTAAGTAGGATAACGACTGACTTGTGAATAGCTTGGCCGTGCCGAAGAGCATGGAAGCGTTTTACAGACATGGCTGCGTCTATTGGCGTATGAGAATCTTTAAGTGGTAGATAATATACACTTCAAAATTTGCAATGTCCTTCTTAGCTCAGTTGGTAGAGCGCGTCACTAGTAATCTAATTACGTAATGACGAGGTCAGTCGTTCAAGTCGGCTAGAAGGAATTTTTTTATCGTTGGAATGAGTTGCTTTTGTTTTTTCATATACAACCTTTATGGAGGTGGGTTTCGAGTCTTCTCTTCAACATTTTTCCCTTCTCAGGATTTGCAGGTCATTAATTCGCGCTCCGCTCTTCTCTCTAACTTTGAAGTCCTCGAGCTTCTGCGGGATCTCGAAAACGACCATCTGGCGCGTACTAAGACTGCAATTCGTGTCAAAAAGGAAGAAGAAGCTTCTGGCATCCCCAGTCAGGCAAAGCATCCTGCGACAATAGAGGTCACTGAGAATGTACGGACGATACAAGTTGAAGTGTGTGTAGACGTTATTACAGGTCTTATCACTGTTCTTTAATGATCAATGCTATCACAGGCAATTCAATATTTGACCGCTGAATACCAGCCGACGTCTTCTCAAACTCCAAATGGAATAACACAACTAGTCAAGGATCTGGCGAACTATCAACTTACCAAAGCCGAAAAGCTACAAATTGTGAACCTAGCTCCTACGCAGCCAGTAGAACTCTATGTTGTGCGCATCTGACGCTGTAGCCTGTGTATTGCTTCTCATCATTCCCCAATACTAGATCGTTGAAGAACTAGAAGATCGACTGGGCGAATCTATGGAAACTGTTCTCTCAACGGTATCTGCGTCTTTGTCTGCGGCACCTTCGCATCCATTAAACGGGTCTTCTCCGGCGCCAGTACTTCCCATGGCTAGTTCAGATACTATGGCCGATTTAAGTCTGCAGTATCCATCAGAGGATTTCAACGATGCAGGTATGGTTAATGACATGGTTTTCGATGACGAAGGCCAAGGCGTTGGCATCGAAGGTGATTTGGACAAAGAAGAGGAAGATTAGCATCACACTTCCGCTGCGTTGAATGTGTATTTTATGTCGAAGAATTGTCTATGAATATACGAGAATATGCAGCCGATACCTTACTTTGAGATATAAGTTAATGTGTGGTAAGTTCTCCTAAAAAACCAAGATCCATTCAACATCCATCAATTCTTAGTAGTGGGTATGTTTTTTCCAAGAAATTTTCGTCCAGCGTAACCCGAAATGAGCGACTACATCGCACTGACAGTCACTCTGCCTTTGAGCCAGTCCCGCATCCCCTTTGCCCGAAGACTGATGCCACTCTTCACACTCTCCGGTAGACTTTTCAAACTCCTCATACTCTTTCCACTCTTTACACTCTTGAAGCTCTCCAATGAAGGCGCGCTCCTCAATCCGGCACTCCTCAATCCCATGTTGAGCCTCTTCTCTTCGACCTCGGTAACACTCTCCGAGCTCGCTATCGGGTGCTCAGAAGCCTCGAGGTGAGGATGAAGATGCGGCGACATGGCGCCTAACGCAAAAGGACCGGATATCGTTGGACGATGAGTAGCGGTCTTTGAATCATGAGAAGATATTGACGGTGCGCGCTTGACAGCCGAACCAGTCGTGCTGGAAGCCGTGGAGCCTTTGCGTTTCAACGAAACAAAGCTCCTCAGCGTGCCAGTACCAGTACTGCCACTCGAAGTTCGTTCCCTGCTTCGATCTGGTGTTGGTGTGACACAAGTGTCTTCCCGTTCCTGCGCACGCAACGCGCGAGTGTTATGTGTTGGGCGGATGTTATGAAAATCTTCCACGAACCGCGTGGGGACAACGAACTTGGCGTCGTCTGCGGCAGTATTAGTAGCAGGTGAAGCCATGCCTCCTGCGAGGTTGAGATCGCTCGCTGCGTAAAGATGGGAGTTGTGAATGTAAGCATGCCCCTCCGCCGTCTCCTCGCTCGGACACCCATCCTCATTGTCTTCGCCTTCGTTCATGTCCACATCCATTCCGGACAAATCGATACCCATGTGGTTGTAATCAAATGGACCGGCACCTACAGTCCCGTCCCAGGACTCGTAGATCGCGCTAGCATAATGCACCGTGGGTTTCTCAACAAATTTGACGGATTTGTTGCTGCTGACCGTAGTACTCACGCTGTCCTTTCTCTGGTTCTTCCTTTGAAAGCTAGCTTCCAAACTCAGATCGACCCCGGAATCGAATTTGGATGATGAGTTTGTTCGGTCGGAAGAAGATTCAGAGTATGGCGTACGAGAGGCCAGGATGGATTTTGTGGGCGAGGGAGACTTCCGTCGTTGAACATCCATCTGAGATGTATCGTCGTCTTCGACGACTTCAATGATAACTCGATGGTGGGGTTCAAATTTAGGCTGAAATTTCCTCGTCTTCCCAATGCTATTTGAACTGAACCCTCCCACAGTAGGCGATCCGGGTGTCAATGGCGTCAAAGGCGAAGAGGGCGTTGATGATGAGTTGGAGTATGCGGTAGATGTGGTAGAAGACGTCGTGGAGGAAAATGACCCGGAACGTACATGACTCGCTCTCCTCTTGACGGGAGTGTTGTATATCGGTGGCGACGAGAACGTAGGTGAGGTGGGTGATTTATTCCCTGTGATGCGACTGGACACCGGAATGCGGGAGATACCCAGCTCTTTCAGGCTTCCTCGCGCCTTTCGCCGTTTAGGGCTCATCCCATTCGCCCTATCCAAATCGGCTCCTGACCATATTGAGGGAATGGCAATGGCGGTATGGACGGCAAGAGGACTCGACGGCTGCGGTTGTCTTTTACTCTTTGCTCTACCCAATGACAATCGAGCTATTCTAGAACCTGAAGTAGGATTTAGCGTAGATGGATTCTCAGAGCGTGAGTTTGGTCCAGACCGGGGGTGTAGTATTGAAGTCCAGAAAGCACCCGTCTTACTTGGACCTGCTGAAGAAGCTTTAAACTTACTTGACGACGGTTGTCGCGTGAGACTGGACGATGAAGAGTTTAATCCTATAGTCGAAGGAATCAAGACGCCGATACTTCCGATACTTCCGATGCTACTCCCACTGCCATTGTTGACATTGGTGTCTCGATTGCAGTTGACGAGATGCGCTGGAAGGTTCGACGAGCTAGCGTTCAGACAGCTTGTCGAAACGTCTGGGAAATAGCTGGCCGCTAGACCGGATCTGTACGTGGTCGAAGTAGGAGTGGCGCATCGGCTGCTGTCTGCCGTTGAGGCAGGAGAGGGTGTACTGGCGCTTGCGGTAGAATCAGAAACGGTGCGACGAGCAAATTTAATGGCGGAAGGACGCGGAGGGGAAGCTGCAGATGGCGATTTCGGACGACGGTATATCCATTCCGAGCCCGGGGAGCTACTATGTGTAGATGAGTAAGAAGCTGTGCGTTTGTTGAGACGTGGTGGTGTCTTAATTGGAAGGGACGTGCTCGTGGTAAGTATAGGACTCTCAAGTGAGCTTGTTTGCGGAGATGAAGATGAAGATGATACCGTAGCGGTCTGTTAATTAATCAAAAGTCAAAAAGTAAGGTTTAATGGTCAGATGGAAACGTTGGGCAACACGCACCACAATGTGATTCAAACTGGAACGCGAATGTCGCCTGTTGAAGGAACCTGACATACGGTTGACGACTTTTGCGCTGCTAGATTTGGTTGAACGTTGGTAGTGGCGTCTGTTGTTCTTGTGGCGGGGAATCGTGGATGTGGTAATGGTGGTTGAGCTACGGCCTGAGGAGGAATGCTGATCACCGGAAACGGTAAGAAAAGATGGACAATCAACAATCTGCTAAACAGCAACGCACAGATCCGGTGTTGTTTGAAAGAATGGGGCTGGGATTTAAAAGTTCAGTTGTGCTAGATTCTTGAAGAATCGTATCAGCGGCATCAAGCCATCGTAGTTCATCGCTAGTAATCGAGATGAGGGAAAGGTTGGATTGCTATACATAAAAATTGTTCATCTCATGCGCACAAGACACGAAAGATCGCTCACTTGATACATCTCTGATTACCTCTCTGTGCTAATGGCCGACGGAGGAGGGCCAAAGTAAAAACACGCTGAAGGAAAGGTGGTGGGCGCGGAAGTGTTAGTATAAGGGAACGGTTATTTGTTCAGCCTCAAGCGAGCAAGAAAAAGGGAGGGTGAAGCTTTGCGGAAGCTGGGGGTGTAAAAAAGAAAGGTCGTATTAACGGCAAGCTTTTTCAATGGGCCTAACACACGGCTAGCCTCAAGAATACCTGCGTAAAGTTTTGGGAAGGGGTGAGAGCATACTTAAACCTCACGTTCCACACGTGTAAAAATTCCGATGCATTGCATAATGAAGTTTTAATAGAACGGCGAATCGTTGCGGGCGGAGGCGATAGAAAGGATCAGACGCATGTAGAACATGCTTTCAAGGTAGTGATATTTTCACGTGATGCATTTATACGGGGATTCGAGACTGTGTACGACAGCGAGGGTCAAACCGAGGTGAACGAGGAACGAGGAAGGCGAATAAGAACAATCAGAGTGTCGGACGTTCGGCATGAAGACCACTCCAAATTCCCCTAGCTGCCTCTGTAGTGCTGTCTACAGTCTTCTTCAAAGATTTAATCTTGGCTCCCGAAGAGTCCAAGAGAAGTTCAACTTTTTTCTGGATTTGAGTCACTTCCAGACCGTTTAAAGGTACGACTTTATCTCTGTTATTGACTAGGTGGAACAAAAGGAGAATAAATTGGTCAATATCGAAGAGTTACATACTTCTCGGAAAAACTCACCGTAAAAACCACGTATTATTGGTTCCTTTTGAGATCGCTGCCGGACAACAACTTCAACGTGAGGATTTTGCCGTGCAACGTCTTCGATGTGGTTGAGAAGAAAAGTCCGTGTGTTGGCGGACGAAGGCCATTTGTCACAATACTCGACTACAAGTTTTCTGATCTGAGGAAGGAAGGTCGTGTGGCCATTTGCAGGAGTAGAGCCAAGTTTTGCCCGGATTATGGGCGTAACGGAAGGCAGACGCATTGAAAGCAAGCTGAAAGAGCAGCGCAAAGCTGCAATAGGTTATGTAATTTCTTCCAGGCCTTTGCATTCCGCCACTAATTTAAGTTTACGAGGTGAGTACTGAGCTCAATTCGTTGCCTCAACAGTTATACAACTTCCTCATTAATAACAGTGTCAAATGGCAGC